TCATTCATGGATGTTAGATGTTGTTGCAATTTCATGGCTGTATCTGCTATCAAGACCTGGTCATCTGCAAAGAGTAATTCGTTGATCTGATATCAGCAAATGCTTTAATTAGTTTCCTTTAATGACCAGCTTGTCAGAGGGCAGTGAGTCTATTCTTTTACTCCTCAACAATGAGGCCATGGAACCAACACAGGGAGCAAAGATCATTCAGAAGTTTGAGGTTTTGAACAACGGATCAACATCATGGCACATGGGTGTAACCCATAAGTGCTCCGTTCTTCTTCGAACTCAAGTCTGTGTCCGAAGAAGCTCAACACAGAGCACAGGCTCTGTAGCACCGGCGAGGATCCTGAAATACTTTGGGCAGATTTTTAACTCAAAATTTTGCCCGGGCAGTGCCGTTAGGCTACCTTTTTCGATTTCCAACTGCCAAGGGAATTTGTACGTGCACAACAATGCACATGGGCATCTGATCTCACTACTCAGAGACCAGGGGGAATTACTAGAAGTCCAAGTCCACGTGAAATGTGAAAAAGTCCCACCCCTCACCGGGGACTGAGCCCGGAACCTTTAGCACTTGAGGCGGACACCATGCCTCGAGACCATGCAGCCCCCTAGATCATTCAAGAAAGAAGCTGTGACAAAGAAGTTATCTTTGATAACCTAAGATGGTGGCATGGAGGATGTCAATACCTGTACCATCTGGCAAAGCACTTGATGATGATGATGTACAAGATATAACAAAAATAAAAACACAACCAGTAGCTTCACACCAAAAGAAAAAGTATCAAACAATACTTTATTATTCATATTGTTAATATTAGTGTATGAAATGTACACCAAAAACTGAAAAATCTTGATGTGTCATGTCTTAACACATTCTAAAGCATGTAAAACATCTAAAACATCATGATGAAATGGTTTAACATCTTTCTGAAACATTTAACACTTAACAGTTCTGATAAAATGTTTTAACACTTTCTGAAACATGTCAAAAACCAAAATATCATGATGAAATATTTAAACACATTCTGAAACATGTGAAGAAAAAAAAAAACTAAAACATCCTGATGAAATGTTTTAATACTCCAAAGCAAGTCAAAAACCAAAAAACCTTCCAAAAAATTTTAACTCATTGTGAAATATGTCAAAAAACAAAACATCATGATTAAATATCTTAACATGTTCAGAAGCATGTCGCTCCTCCCTCCCCCCCACTCCCCCAAAAAATATTCCAAGTTTTAATACATTTCGAAAAATGTAAAAAAAAAAAAAAAAGACTAGCAAAAGCAGTCTTCATAATAAAATATGTACTGTCAATGTGGAACAAATATTTAGTCCTGATGAAACTTCAATTCTTATTTTAGATATGAACATTGCACAAATTTGCCATGCCATCTAGTATAAAAGATACAAGCTGTTACACACAATAACTGTCAATTACTGCCTTTATTTTACCACTTTTGCGGTGTAGGCTGGGGTGGGGGGGTCTTTGAGTCTGAGGATTTACGGCGGCATGGCTAGTGCTGTCGCCATGACTGTACAAGTGAGGATTTTTTTGTGTGCCTCTGACAAAAAAATCCCCAGCCTTATAGAGGATTTGAACCTGGGTCTGCCGCTTGAGAGCCCAGCATTCTAACCATTCAGCCAGCTGCTCCTCTACACACAATAATGCACCTTAAATTTGCAGAGGACAGGGAAAGCCTTCTACATGAGGCTTTGAGTGATATTAAAGGGCACAGGCTAAATAGAGGTAACTTTTGGAATGGCACAGGCAGAATTCATTATCATATACGTGTATGCAATTGACAAGACAGTAACACCCAAAAAAGCAGCCCTGCAGACGGTGACAGCCACCTTGGACTGCGGATGTCAGGAATGGGTAGCTTGTGAAAGAGAAGCATTGGTGCAAGAACTGATCATTCATAATATCATTATACAGATTTGCAGAAAAAATATGGGGGTTTCACTGTGAAGGAAGATGGAAGTGTCTGAAAAGAAAACAACCCCATTTTAACGTCACATCTAGCATCAGAATGGAGGTGGAATCAGTAATGGCACCTTCTACGATTGCTGCAGAGCAGTGCAGCTCAGCATGTATGATTATAACGGACTCACAAAGCAAGCTTTGCAAAACAGAAACTGGTGTCTTGTGCTCAGAGTGGCTTGCCTCTTTTAATAAGACTCACATAAGAATCATATTGTGGATGTTTTTGCCCAGGATATTGGAGTGTGTTCATGGTAATGAGCATGCTGGTAGATTATCTGCTGCCTCCCCTCTGGGCAGTGAGATGCTTGTAATGTCAGTAGCTTTCAAGTATTACAGTATCCTATCCACTGTCTAAACTTGATTACTTGTCTGCATCTTTTAACTGTTTTCAGCTGTTGTCTTTAACAGAAAGATTTAGTGATTAACCCTTTCGCTGCTACGTTCCCGGAAATAGCTGTCTGCCCTGTGCTAAGCAATGTGAAAAAAAAAAGTCTCTGCTGTGCGCAATACTTTTCTATCCTCCAAACGCAAGAGATGCGTCGGCGGTGAGGGCTATATTTTGTACACCCAAAACATTTTACCCTGGGGAGTTGTGTGGTTGGTCCGAGTGGTGACAAGTCAGAGGCACGATGGTGGCCCACAAACTTGACTAACTGGGGGGGGGGGGGGGGGGGGGGGGATTAATGGGAAGAACTGTTCCCTGTCCGTATCCCAAAATTTGATTGACGAACCTACCAAGGCTGCCACTTTAATCAGTTATTTGTAGTCACCATGTTATTAAATACCAAAATAATAAAAAAATTTAATAATAATACTTGAGTCGTCCGTTGATGAAAAGTAGCAGGAACTGAAAGGAAAATTTACAATAATTTAAAAAAAAAATAAAAACACGACTTCAAGGGTTGAACACACGACCCTCTGATTCTAAGGCGAACGTGATACCAACTACACTATACTACCGCTTGATGTATTTTGCTGTGTGAATGATAATAATGACTGATGTACGCAGACTATCAATAACGTGCCTAAGCTTGTAATCTATCGCCGCCTGCATGAGCACTGTTGTCTGAGAAATGTTTGAGATTCTCAACAATAGTAAAAATATGTCCGTCGACATTATTTCACGGGAGTTTTTAGCAAACAGTCTTTGCTCAAGTACTTTATTTTGAGTTTTTTTGTTCTAAGCATTAGCAGACAGCAAAAAAAAAAAAAAAAAAGTTCGTCCGAATCTGTGTCTGACCATCGGGAAAGATGAGAATTTTTAGTGACTGAACTGTTTGAATTTACAGTAGCAGAAATACAGTTAGAGCTGGAGTCATCAAAATTATGCACTACTGGTTTCAAATCATCGGTTCATAAAGACAACTGATCAATTTATTGCCGTTTTGATGGCGCTTCATTGTCGCTGCTCTCTGATTCCGACAATGAGGACGTCGGACAGGCAAACAGTTTTTTTTGGACACGACGGTTTCAGCAGTCCATATTGATGGCCCAGTCAAATCTTTTTGTTCACTGTCAGAAGTAAACATTTCAAAGTCATCTTCGCTATCACTTCTTGACAGAAACTCCATAAATTCTTCATCAACTTTAACAAGTTTTCATGCCATTTTGTACTAAGTGTAGAATAATACAAAAGCACAAATATATATCAGGGCACAAAATACACAGATCACCGACCACGCTGTCACGGTAAACAAAGCAACGGGATAACGCAGAATGCAGAAAACACACCTTAAACACACCTAAAAGCACGTGCCAGTGCTTTTAATCATATGTAAATGGGTCAGTTTAATCTAAATATAGTTAATGTATATTGCCCTTCAGCCAATAAAATACGAGGTAACAGAAATCTGAAAGAAAAGTCCAAAAACGGCTTAGGACGTCCATAGCACTGGGGGTCAAGAAAAAAAATAACGTCCAAAGACAGGCGTAGCAGCGTACGGGAAATCGGGAAAAGACGTCCATAGCAGTGAAAGGGTTAATTACTTTTTCTAGAATTTTTGTTGTTGCTGTTTTGCCTCATGTATCATTTCCTCAGTTTTTTGTTGTTGCTTAGCTGTTTACTTAGCTGATATGCCTTTTCATTTCTCACATACAGCATCCATCGCCAAGTTTAGACTCCATTAGTTTGGAAATATGGCTATCCTCCGAATAACGGGCACAAAAGATGGCGGCCAAATGCGGCCAAAAACAGGGCCTCAGTCACGTGTCAATTGCGCACTTCCGGCGACCTAATTTACGGTTTTCCGGCAACTACCGCCACCGCCTAGACTTTGACGCTCACACGTAGTGGATTAGGGCTAAACTAGATGGCTAGGACTCACGACCAAAGATGCAGGAGATGCGTAAGCTGCTGCTCGTGAGTCCCAGCCATCTAGTTTAGCCCCAATCAACGCCACGTGAGCGGCGTGGGGAATACTCTCGGCGGTGGCGGTAGTCGCCGGAAAACCGCAAATTAAGTCGCCGGAAGTGCGCAATTGACCCGCGACTGAGGCTCTGTTAGGATGTTTGTGCGGCCGCCATCTTTTGTGCCCGTTATTCGGAGGATAGCCGGAAATACTCCTAGTAGCCAGAAATGAATACAAAAGAAATCTTGTGCATTCCAGACTTCATCATGGTTAGGGGGGGGGGGGGGGGGGGGGGGGAGGAACAGATTCATGCCCCTTAACAATAATGCTGTACAAGGCGACTAATTAAAAGTTTGCTAAATTTAGATGTATTGTGCCCAAAGGTACAGATATCACAGACTAGCCGTAAACCATAATGTGCCAACCACCCATTTAATGGCACAGGCAGAAAAATTAAAAGAAATTATTTTTCAACAACAAATTAAACATTTGTTAATAATTGAAGCTGTGGTGGGAAAGAAACATTTATGATGAATCATTTAGTTATTTTACGTTTGTTAAATGATGTTCACTACCATTCAAGGAATGTACTAACAAGCTTATTATTGTTACAGCATTCATTTTATACAATACAGAAATTATAAAAAAAAACGTTAAATAGTTTAATTGCTTATACCAGTCAGCTTGAAAACCCAGGCCCATTTAGATGGCAACTGATTGAAAGGGATAGCTGGGATCTGAATCTGCAGGCCAGAGTTTGGCAGAGGGGACCACGAGAAGGGGGTGTTGTATCCCAGCATGGTGACCGTTGTGCTGGCTGTCGTCACGGGACTGGCCAGTGTCAGGTTGGAGGATTCTGGCCAGGTGAGAACAATGGCATAGACATTGATCACAGTTCCATTGTCTGCTCTTGTGCTTGTGTACCTGAAAAAGTTTAACAGTTTCAAAAATTACATTAATGATTATGGACAAGAAACACATGAATTGTATTTATTCATACATTCATTGTACAATTTTATAACCTATACCAGTGTTTCCCAAACTTTTCTTAGTCGCAGCGCTTTTTTCAAATAAAATTTTTCCACGCGGCCCTAACCTAAGTAAAAGTATGACTATTTGTATCTAAGAGATTTTTTTTAAAATGTCAAACTCATGTATCTTTGAATATTTCACGGCTCCTCTGTGAAAAGGTTACGGCTCCCCAGGGTACCGCAGTGCACAGTTTGGGAATCACTGACCTATAGTAATTTATACAGTGAAACCCATTAATATAAATTCCAAGGGACTGAAATATGTCACAGCTGAGAAGATCAAGACAGTAAGAGAGCCAGAGTAATTTACAGAGATTTATTTAATTACTCAAATTAAGACAAGACAACTGCCATTATTTTGGGGATTCATGTTATTTGATGACAGGGTATGGAGAAGTTGTGTCCACCAGAAATATCAAACTTTGGGTCAGAGGTTTTTTCTTCTTCTTCTTCTTCTAAGTGTTTACTGGGTGTAAACTCTGGTAGAAAATTTGAGTTGTTCGTCCATTGCTGGACTCTAGTCTTGTTTCAAGTCTTGAATTACATCTCTGCAGTAGTTCTATTCTTTGTTCTCCAAAATGGATCATAGGAACCCATAAGGAGAAGACCGAATTATATGAAAATTACTATCTTTATTTCCAGCGGTTTAGTTAATTGCTTACCCACCACAGAACATCACAAATGAAGCCGTGTTTATTGGCTGGCCATGGTTTTACTAGGTAATTTTAAGTTCAGTAGTTTGCCACTGCTTTTTGCACACTCATACCATTGTTAAAATGTTGTCTGCTGTCATACTGCCCACAGCTGAATTGTACCTTTTATGTTGGAATTATGAAACTGTGTTCGTAGTATCTAAGCCATAGATTCTGACATATGAACCCTACAGCTGTACTTCTTCTTCATTTCCTCATTTACTATTTCAAGTGTTGAGGGAGAGACAAGGTTCAGTTTCTTGCTCTTTTGGTCTCCTCGACACATACATGTCGTACTGTTGTAGAGTTCCTCTGATCTTGCCTTTCTATCTTGTTCTACTTTGTACACGAGCTGTACACTGTAATAAATATTCTGGTCTTTCCATCTTGGTCAACCTTGCATACCAGTTGTGCACTCTAATAAATATTCTGGTCTTTCCATCTTGGTCAACCTTGCATACCAGTTGTGCACTCAAATAAATATTCTGGTCTTTCCATCTTGGTCTACCTTGCATACCAGTTGTGCACTCTAATAAATATTCTTACCAAACATCAGGAGTGGCGCTGTCATTCTGGTGTGTCCATGGCTTTGTGGCGTATATCGCTTCACCGTTCACAGAAAGCCACTGCCCTGTCTGTCTCAAACGCTCCTCAAACACCGGTGGAATGGTTCCCTCCTTGGTCGGGCCAACATTGAGCAACAAGTTTCCTCCGCAGCTGCAAAATAGAAAACAATAATTATATTGCACAATTTATTGCCTAGTATATTTTGCCAGACTATTTTTTTATTCCAGGACTTGGGTTTTGTGGGCATATCTGTTTTACAGATCTGGATTATTTGTGTGTAGATTCTTCTTCTTCTCCTCTATTCCTGTATTGCCTTTCAGCATCAGGTTTTGAAGAGGAATCCGGTGAGAACCTTGGTATGTGCTACGCAGATGCTGGTATTCACGACCTTATATATTCTATCTATTCATCTTTTGCATGGTCGAACTCTTGCTGTTTCCATTATGTCTGAGTGACAGGGCTCTCTGTCGTGTATGTCTGGTGGTAGTCTTGACACGTGTCAAGAGGCAGATGCAACAGACTTTGATGGAAATTGTGATCCTATCTACCTTGGCCCTGCCCTGGGAACTTGTTTTTAGGATGATGGCTGAAAGGTGTAGTTATGGCTTGACCACCATGGGGTCTGGTCTTGCTGCACTAACAGGTGTGGTTCCTCACCTCGGCATCACTAGCCAATACAGTGAAGTGAATCAATTGAGTACGTAACCTTTATACCTTTGGTTTTCAACCTGGGCGTGGAGAGGGAAGGGGGCAAAGAGGTTTCAAGAGGGAGGTGTCAAGCAATTTTGAAATTGCTTTCTTTTGTTCAGGTAATAATCTGTTACACTAACTTTTGTTTCAGTTTAAATATAAACAAAAATATTTGTTTAAAAAATTTATAAAACAAAAAGCCAAGGACATGTTTGTTTCCATGAGTAGTTTGTACATTTACCATTAAACAAAAAGGTGATTAATAGGATAACATGTGCATTTTGATAGCTTAAGAACAGATTTTGACCAAAATGTATCTCCTCAGTTTCTGTGACTCTTTTTGTTCTTCTTTTTAATAATATTTCTTGTATAACTCGTAACCCTGTCTCGTCTAGTGTTGTTAGTGACCTTGCAGAGACAGCGCAATTCACATGAGTTATTTTCTGTTCTACTGCTCATCATTCACTGTGCTCATCATTTCCCTATAAAAACATCTCTGCAGCTCCAACACAATTTCACACACACACACAAAAAGAGTTACATTTGTTAAGAAACCTGGCTAAGTAGCACTACAACAACCACTCTTCACCTGACAACTTGAGCAAGAATTGCGATAATCTCCTCCATTGTGTGGACATCTTCAAGTTTCAGATTTCGCCTGAATGTCCATGCAAGCTTGTCCACGGTGGTAGGATCCTCAAACTTGTGTTGCTGCAATGTTTCTAAAACAAAGAAATTTATAAAATACCTGAAATATAAAACTATAATTTCTTCTCCTTCTCCTTCTGTGTTTGCCTTTAAAAGGGGTTGTTGGCAGGTTATGTTGTGATATCTGATAACACATCCAGCTTCAGCGAACCCTTTAGCTATTTTTTGTGATATGCTTGTTAGGAAGGTAGGTGCTTTGTTGGGGGAAAAAAATCATCAACCAGCATCCCCGAAGGGGGAGCTTTAGGTTATAATTGTGACTAAGTTATTGCACGCCACCAAGAGCCATGAAAAGGAATCCTGCAGTGCAGATGCGACTGAAAGAAACAGACCCAATTACTGTCCCAACTAGCGAGGAGGTCGTCTACCTGTGAGCCAATGGGTGACCCGATGACATGCTTGTAAACAGCCAGTAGGTATATATATCCCCCCCCCCCTGCCCCAGCCACAGGGCTCACAGATCACCCATAGGGAGTTCTTTTAGTTCAAGCTACATAGTCTCTAGTGAACTTCTTATAATCCAATTCACCTGGCACTGATAATCATGTCTGTCCAAAGTTATATTTCATGTATACTGTTAATAATTTTCTGAAACAGATATTTTTCAATGCCATGGTGCTAAACTGCCCAGGATCTACTTTCTTAGACTCTCCCCCCCCCCCCCCCCCCCCCCGGCTCTCTTCAGTGAACAAAGCACCACCATATTCACATTCTCACACAACTATACAGATGAAATAACCAAATACACGTAAACACTTACTAGGATTGAAATTATCTGAACAGGTGTAGTAACCGCCATGTTTGCACATTGTTTCTGAACCCCATCTGTCGTTAGTCACAACTTTATCTTTCACTGGACTGAAATAAGATGGCACAATGACAGAAAAGAAAAACTGTTGATATGGTTAAAAGCTAGACATATAGTCTACTTAATTTATTGGTAAATTTTGCAGTTATTTCCAGAGGTTCTCGAATTGTGCGATCTGGACTCGAGTCTGACTTAAGTCGCATAATTAATGACTTGCGACTCAACAAGGTGAAGTCCAGCAACTTGTAGCTTTGACAACTTGGTGGACTTTTTCTTCATGGTCGGCCACTGTGAGGCAGTTTAGAGATCAGTGTCCATCCATCCTTTTATGTATGTCATAAAACCATCCATCCATTTATGTATGTCATAAAACCATCCACCCATTTATGTATGTCATAAAACCATCCACATCCATTTATGTATGTCATAAAACCATCCACCCATTTATGTATGTCATAAAACCATCCACATCCATTTATGTATGTCATAAAACCATCCACATCCATTTATGTATGTCATAAAACCATCCATCCATTTTTGTATGTCATAAAACCATCCACCCATTTATGTATGTCATAAAACCATCCACCCATTTATGTATGTCATAAAACCATCCACATCCATTTATGTATGTCATAAAACCATCCACCCATTTATGTATGTCATAAAATCATCCACATCCATTTATGTATGTCATAAAACCATCCACATCCATTTATGTATGTCATTAAACCATCCATCCATTTATGTGTGTCATAAAACCATCCATCCATTTATGTATGTCATAAAACCATCCATCCATTTATGTATGTCATTAAACCATCCATCCATTTATGTATGTCATAAAACCATCCATCCATTTATGTATGTCATAAAACCATCCATCCATTTATGTATGTCATAAAACCATCCATCCATTTATGTATGTCATAAAACCATGCATCCATTTATGTATGTCATAAAACCATCCACATCCATTTATGTATGTCATAAAACCATCCACATCCATTTATGTATATCATAAAACCATCCATCCATTTATGTACGTCACAATTTAAAACATCTTCAGATAAAACAGGACATAATAAATTCTGCTTCTTTACCAAGCTTTCACATTCAATTTCTCTGCCTTTTTATGTACAGTTCAGAGAGTTTTTCACTTTGCCATTTTCTGGTTTTGTATTTCCACCCTTTCTGATTGATCTTTATCTTCAGTCTAGTAAATATACACAAATTTGCACGACTTGCAAATGACTTAATACATGATGTGACTTGACTCGAAACTCAACTTGGAAGCATTCTTGGTGACTTGAGACTTGACTCGGGACTTGGTGGCAGTGAGTTGGTCTTGAAGAGTGACAACTTGAGTCCAATCTCTGGTTGTTTCTCATCACACTTTACAAGACCCTATTGTCTGCTCTCTATTAATGTTAATACTGCATTCACTTTCATTGAAAAATAGGCATTTTATTACACATTTAGTGATCCTCATGGTGAAGTTGTTAAACTGTTTGCCTCATGCTCTGAAGGATGTGATTTCAGTTTCAGATTCTGTTATGTGGTTTAGGAATTGTTGGAATTATCATTACTTCTTTCTTCTTCATGTTTGTCAGCTGTAAACTCTGGTGAAAAGTTCGTCCACTTTTGAATTATGGCCTTGTTCTAGAACTTGAGATTTGCACACACACATCCATTTTACAGATCTGATTTATTTATATGCAGACTGCTGGTTCCACACCTCTCAGACAAATTTATTCCAACTTCAGAGACTTTGCTTTTATGTGATGCTTTAAGCCAGTGACCAGCTGCTCTGTGGAGAGAGACTGGGCCATACAGGATAGAACCCAGTTTAATGAAGTTGACCCTAATGCTTTTAAATACATGTTTGTTTCAAAATTGATTTTTTTTTTTCAAAAGGAATTTTTGAGGCCGCAGGGAAAATAAGACCCCCCCCCCCCCCACCTCCTTGCAACCAACACTAGCTCTCTCTTTCTCTCTCTCTGTAACTGATGTGGTTAAAATCATGTCTTTACTTCCCAGAATATTAATTGGTACCCATTTTGGGGTAGGTCATCGTGGGAGCAAAAAACAACCTTTTTTAAAAAACAATCTATGCAGAGCTGAAACTTAGATCTTCAGGCTAGCATGTAGGCATTAACTCCTTGAGTCCCAGGTGGTTTAGCATCACAGGCCCAGGGGATAGTAAAGAAAGTAATAAAATCAGCGCATCTTGCGTTTATTAGGCTTCTAGGTAGGAACCTTTGAACGTATGATGCGTTCCTTGGGACTCAAAGAGTTAAGCCACTCTTCTAGTAGCTCCCAAAAGATGGTTAAAAAAAAAAATCACAGAATTTCTTTCTACTTTTGTCCTTATTCTGCTTCGTGCCATTAGGCATCACATTTAAAAGATGATTTCTGAGTCAGGGCATACTTGGTTGTCTAATAAGCTGTGATGTTAAGGTATCAGTGATTACTTCAGTCTATCTTCTTCTTGGTTGTTGCCTGCCTCCTAAAGTTTCTACTTTTGTGTTGTACACTCTCGTTGAATTTATTCTCATTAAATGGCCGAACTATTGCTGTAATTATAGATATTCCAATAGTTCGTATAATTTCATTGTATCTCACATGATTTATTCTTGTTTTGTTCACCGCCTTTTTCAAACATCTTATTTCGCAAGTGGTCTGCTATGAAGACTGCAGTTATAATTTGTCTTTACTGGGTTAGCTTAACGTTTAAAAGAATTCAACCTCTACAAATTCATCTTTCAAATATAACGGAGGTGGGGATCAAGAACAGACCCCCTGCACCCCTAACTAGCAAATCATAAACGGCAGCAAATTCAGAGTTTTCTTAAATCTGATGTGGTGAGCCGAAAGGCATAGATATCGCTGCCTAGCTATAAACCACAATACAACACTTTTTTTTTTTAAAGTGTAAACACAAAAGAAGAAGAACTATCAGCACAGACATTGCCCATTCAACCTAGCCATTCTCACAGACAGGAGATATGGAGCAGCATTACCTGTCATTGTACAGCCAAGCTAGGAAGTTTGTGGAGTTCCAGTAAGAGGAAGGTGCCATCCACTCCCCATCTGACCAGATAATGTCTGGCTGGTAAGTGTTGACCAGTTCATACAGCTCAGGCATGGTCTTTTCCTGTAGCAAAATAAGAAAACAGGATGCTGAAATCAACAGCAGCAGCACACGTTTAACTCTTTCAATATCACACAGTTGTTACTGATGTCATGCTGTTTCCAGTTTGACAATGGTATGGACAAGTTATAAGATCTAACAGCCTCTTAAAAAACCAATACTTCAGGGCTCAGAAGAGGGGAAGAGGAGAAGAAGTGGCAGACCAAGAAAGATCTGGTTACAGAACTTGACTGACTGGACAAGTCTCAGGCATGCAACCAGGAAGTCTATCACAAATGACTGCCAAGTGTGGAGACAGTTGATTAGACAGTCAGCTGAAACTAGTGACTCAATGACACTAAGTGTTACAGGATGATGATGATGATCAACAGTAGCTGTTGATTAATTAAAACTAATAAACATCAAGTCTAAATGAGTTCAAAGAATTACCATGTTGAACAGACAAAGCTTCATCCTATCACCAGAGACGCAGGAAAACTAGCACTTCAGCTGGGTCCAATTTCCTGCAATTGTCACTTAACAGACTTTACTAAAGTGAATAGTTGACAAGGTGTACAGTTAACCCCACTAGTTGTGTCGTGTCTGCAGCATTTAGGAAGTCAGGATATGAATATATTTACTAAAAAAAGCATTTAGAGGGAGTTTCTTGTGAAGCAAATGTCTTTTTTTTTTTTTTAAATAACACTGACAACAAATCTTCCCATAGCATCAGTAATATATGTCAGAAGAAATGCCAATTAGTCATTTTCTATGACAAGTTTGTTGGGGGGGGGGGGGGGTCAAGAGGGGCTAGTGGGTCTCCCCCCCCCCCTTTCCCAAATGAGGCCTCCCTAAAACCTACATGGGCCATCACAGCTCACGATTCTCAATATAACAGATACAGTTACCTGAACGCTGTCCTGTCAGTTCATTGAGTTTACTTTGTGGAAAATCAGGGCATTTTAGCTGTATGGAGCGTTATTTTAATAGCATTTAACTGTTCTCCCCCCTCCCCTCCAAAAGCTTTAATTGTAGCGTTTAGCAACACTATTAGGAATCTGATAAAGGCCCAGGAAAAACAGGCAGCTTATACAGCCACCACATGGTATTCAGGCTAGGATTTTACTTCTGAAAGACAACAATCATTTTGCAATCACTGACTTTTTGAGGATTATAAATTGGTTCACTTGGATGTTCAATAATTGACAGGATCTTGTGTTCTGAAGAGGTAATGGTCCTTTTTCCATGCTTTTGGGTGTACTGAATACATAGTTTTAACAAGCTGAGTTGAGTAAAGAATTGACATCACAGCACTCGGGGCATTTCCATGTGTGCTCCGTCTTCATCTTCAGCAGCAAACACAGAGTTCTTATACTGATGGTACCGGCCACAATCTGGTTATATGTCCATCTCGCCTTTCCTTTAAGTGTAGTGAGCTAGCCAGAACCTCTGGTTACATCCATGTGCCTCATTCTCTCCAGGCCATAATAATCTTGTTTCTCTACTGATTCCGTTGGTTGTTCTCAAAGGGCCTTGACCACATCTGCCTTGTCATGTATCAATTCACCAGTTTTAACAAATAAAGAAATAAAGGACACACTTCCATGCATTGCTGTGAATTTTTTCATATCGTACTAGTCCTATATTTGTATAGACCTTTCGGCGTTCAATGAGTGAGCCAGTTAATATCATGCTAGTTCTTGCACACTTGCTGATGCTCATTTTAAGTTTTGTGGATATAAAAACCAAGAAACAATTCTGAATCTCTGATGCCCATAGGGCTGGCATCCAGGCATACTAGCAGTGTGCCTCCTCATCTTACTGGCAAACAGTAATGTCTTCTTTCTGTTGTCACATAGTTACCGGGTTTCTTCTTGACGTTCACCAGCTGTAAACTCTGGTGGAAAGTTCTGGTTGTTCATCCACTTCTGGACTTAAGTCTTGTTTCAGAACTTGAGTTTTGCATATGTATCTGTTTTACAGATCTGCATTATTTGTATGCAGACTGTTGGTTCCTTGCCTCTTGTAGCTAGTATCATGGTTTTCTGTATTTGTCCTGTGCTTCTTGGCTGATTTGAGTGATGGTTTTATTAATTCCCCCCCCCCCCCCCCCCCCCCCCCCCCCCCCCCTCGGCTTTCAGCTATGCTGTATATATGTCTCTTCCTTGGTCTTCCTGTCACCTTCTGCTTAACTGACCTGCTATAGAAGGTCTCATTCATAGTTTGATGGTGCTTGTTGTGACCTAATCAAAAATCTGCCTGCTTTTGCCCTGTGCACTAAAAACCACCCATGCCCTCCGACTACTTCCCAATGAAATGTCCTTTTTCAAAGTAGGGATATCCGTCTTGATTGTACTGTCCGTTTGATCCCAGATTTTTCATCATGCTAACTTTATCATAAATCTGGTTCAGCACCCAGAGAAGTGGCAGCAGCCAATCTATCAGCCTGCTTTTACCCTGCACATCAGAATCTACTTGGCACAAATCCATGAAATGTTCCTGATCTGAGTCTTATTAACAGATGTGAGTCCCTCCATATGCAGGACACCAGTCTCTTTTTGCAAAGCCTGAACTGTGAGTCCCTTACAAAATCAGACTCTGTAACTCCAGCAACAACCTCCAGTTGGAACAATTAGCATTAGAAGAGGCAGACCAAGAGAAATGGTGCTAGATGGTGAACGGGAGAATTATGATTAAACAGAAGGGAACCAAAATACCAAGAACAGTGTTGGTTCTGCTGTAACGTCTACACAGGATTTCAATGATTAAAATGCATGCTGTTGTATTTGAGAAATTTCTGAGACATCCAAATAGGCTTTGTGTGGATGTCTAGCTATGTGGACCAATGTTCAGCCCTCAAGTGATGTAGCATGTGGTAGTTTTTGTCTCTCTATGTAAGCAAAGGAATAGTAAAGTAAAGGTATCTTTACCCACCAGTGGTGCACAGGGTATATGAGGCCAGATTATATTTTATAGATCAGTCGCCCCTTGATGGGTAATGTGGTCAGCATCCCCTGGCCACCTTTACTTCCCAGGCATTTAAGGCTGGGTCGACTTGTGATCCAAAGTCATGCTTGAAAAAATCTATTTCCATGCAGACATGAACCCATAGGCAGATTTTGAGGCAACTTTCTATCTATTGTAATAAATGTTTTCCTTACCCTGACAAAGTCTTGAGTGGTGAAATTGTTTGCCTGATCTCTCAGAAACAAAGGGTTGAAAAACTCAAACAGAGAGTGGTAAGTACCAAAAGCTAATCCCTTCTGGCGTACAGCATTTGCAAGGTTACCTGGAATATTTAGAAAAAAAAAAAAAATACTTTCAACTGTATGTCTAAATATACAAAGAATATGACAAGAGGTAAACAGGCTAACAGTGGCACAAAGAACATGATACAAGATAATAAAGTGGCAATTCCAAGATGTCAAAATTCCATTAAAATGCTTCAATAATTATTCATTCAATCAATATCATGCTGTGCTGTTATACATCACACATGGCTCACACTGTTGGGAAATGAGTATGCAGACAGACTGACTGGTTCTGCACCAATGGGTGGTGAATTTATGCAGACAAGCTAGATGTCGTCAAGGCCCTTTGGGAGGAAGTGAACAATGTGGAGGCACAAACAGACCAATACGGTCTGGAGATAATGGCACAGCTAGGAGAGATCAGGGGATCTGGTCAACACTCTACACTAAGAGGAAAAGCAAGATGGATATATAATTGCTGCTACAGCCACCATAAAAAAAAAAGAACTCTTTGCAGGCTGCTGAAGATGAAGACAGAGTGCATATGGGAATGTCCCAAGTGCTGTGATGCCCAGTTGAAGGATTGGCTAACCTTCATTGTGGGGACGGCACAGTTGAAGGATAGGTAAAGTTGACTGAAGTCATATGAACCTGCATCAGAGAGGATATGTAGTTGACTGAAGGCATATGAACCTACATCTGAGAGGATATGTATAGTTGACTGAAGTCATATGAATCTACATCAGAGAAGATATGTATAGCTGACTGAAGTCATATTAACCTGCATCAGAGAGGATATTTATAGTTGACCAAAGTCATATGAACCTACATCAGAGAAGATATTTAGTTGACTAAAGTCATATGAACCTACATCAGAGAGGATATGTATAGTTGAGTGAAGTCATATGAATCTAAATCAGAGAGGATATGTATAGCTGTCTGAAGTCATATGAACCTGCATCAGAGAGGATATGTATAGTTGACTGAAGTCATATGAACCTGCATCAGAGAGGATATGTATAGTTACCTGAAGTCATATGAACCTACCTACAAGGTCCTGTTTGGGTCCCACATCCCCAGCATTCCAATTCCATGAGTACTTAGATGGCCAGTTACAGAATCCCTCATGATGTTTCGTTGTTAAGACTACATACCTGAAAATTAAAATTAAAAGTCAAAATTTAAAAACTCTTTCTCTTGTCCTGATAGCAAACTCTCTCAGACTGCTGTCTGCTCATCTGTTGATGTTGTTCTCACTTGTAATCATTGTCTACCTCTTGCTCTTAACCTTTCTCTCGTTTTGTTTACAAAAAATGTTATGTCAAAAATACTTCAACTGTTTTGTTTTTATTTATTTTTTCAGTTTAAAAAAAAAAATTACACTAATTATGTCGAGTACTGTCTATATTGAACTCAATCAGAACTAAGAAGTTCTTGGCTCTTCTACTCAAATCTTTTAGATAAATCAGTAAGGTGCCATCTCTGCAATGAAAGATGGCTGCAATGGATCTTCAACAAGCTCTGCCGCTTGTCTTGGTTGTACACTCACTCAAGCTGCTGTTCGTCCATCTCTAGATGGGTCCCCCCCCCCCACCCACTTGTACCATTGTCTACCTCTTGCTCTCTTGTCCTCAAGCTTTTCTTCCAGTATGGTTGATAAAAGAGATAATGTCTTTTAATATATTTCAATTGCCTCTTTTTTATTCCTTACGTTCCCCGTGTGTGTTCCAGGGCCCTAAGATAGGGAAAACAAGAATAAACCCACTGCCTACCTTAAAAGCATGTCGTAAGAGTCGACTAATTTGGAGCTTTCTTTGAAGTCAGAGTGCATCTGCCTGAGAGGCAACGAACCAACAGTCTGCACACAAATGTGTCAAATATGTCAAACGGATGCACATGCAACACTCAGGTTCTGGAACAGGACTGCAGTCCAGAAGTGGAAGAAAAACCAGAACATTCCACCAGAGTTTACACTCGTGAATACAAAGAAGAAGAAAATGTCTTTCAGTAACACTCCTTTCATTCGTAGTTTCTCCAGAACCCCAGTATTTGTCTCAATTTGATTTTCTAACTGCTTATTCCGTAAACTCTTTGAAATATGTGGAGCTAAGTTAACAACTGCTTGGGACTCAAAGAATTAAATAAGATTACCATGGTCCTCATGGGCTTGCCAGATGGTTTAGGCATTCTTGGTTTAAAAAAAAATCTTTTATGTCTTTAACAAATAAATGACATAGGATCTCTACGCTGATCAAGCCTAAATTAGGCATTAGGAAATCCGGGGAAGTAAAGGTGGCTGGCGTTACGCTAAGCGCATAATGCACAAAATGCTGATTGATGAAAAAATGGGCCTAAGACAATGTGCTCAAACTGATGTGAAAGGTGTGAGAAAGGTCCTTAACTGTCTTTTTACTATACAGTCATCATCATCATCATCATGTCTGTGATAATTTGTCTTCGGGCTCCCGCCTCTTTCAAAACCTCTTGGTTGCTCTTTTTGGCAGTCCAAGGTATTCTGAGCATTCTTCTGTAAAACCACATCTCTGGGGCCTCAAGAAATTATTTGGCCTGCCTACCGATTGTCCAGGATTCACGGCCATATGTAAAAACTGGATGTATGTAGCAAACAAGAATTTTTTTCTAACTCTTAATGACAAGGATATATTACACAAGATATTCTTCATTCTATAAAATGCAGTTTTTGCCTGTCCTATTCTGTTTCTTATCTCAGTTATGCATCTTCCATCTGATGTTATCCATGAGCCCAGATACTTAAATTTCTGTACTTGTCCTAAAATAACACCATCGACTTTTATTACACATTTAGGAATAATTCCTTTCTTTGATACCACTATTACTTCTGTCTTCCCATTATTCAAACTGAGGCCCATTCTTTCACTTTCTAACACACTACTATACAATCACATGTATATTTTGCCCAGGCCATGTAGGTGTATTTAGGAATGAGCAGGCAGACAGGTTTGGTGTACTGGAACTGCATAAGGGAGAGGTGACTTCTCACCTGTGGGAAAAAGTAACAAGTAAAACGGAAGACCCGTACATGGAGAGAATCATGCAACAAGGAGTGTAAGTGGGCTACAAGTGCCACTCGAGACTTAGGGGGAAAGGCAAAATTAGTAGTTAACCAGATGACAACGGGTACCATCACAATGGAGACTCTTTGCTGCCTGTTGAGGAGGGAGACAGAGCTCATATGGAGTGTCCTGAATGCTGTGATGTTGAATCTTTACCCAGATGAACCCAGATTTTTAAGACATGTACAATGCTACAGTCATGAATAAGGTACTTTACTTTAATTATCATATATGTGAGCTTACTTTAATTATCATATATGTGAGCTTATTTTAATTATCATATATGTGAGCTTACTTAAATTATCATATATGTGAGCTTACTTAAATTATCATATATGTGAGCTTACTTAAATTATCATATATGTGAGCTTACTTAAATTATCATATACGTGAGCTTACTTTAATTATCATATATGTGAGCTTACTTTAATTATCATATACGTGAGCTTACTTTAATTATCATATATGTGAGCTTACTTTTATTATCATATATGTGAGCTTACTTAAATTATCATTTATGTGAGCTTACTTTAATTATCATATATCTGAGCTTACTTTAATTATCATATATCTGAGCTTACTTAAATTATCATATATCTGAGCTTACTTTAATTATCATATATCTGAGCTTACTTTAATTATCATATATGTGAGCTTACTTAAATTATCATTTATGTGAGCTTACTTTAATTATCATATATCTGAGCTTACTTTAATTATCATATATGTGAGCTTACTTTAATTATCATATATGTGAGCTTACTTTAATTATCATATATCTGAGCTTACTTTAATTATCATATATGTGAGCTTACTTTAATTATCATATATCTGAGCTTACTTTAATTATCATATATCTGAGCTTACTTTAATTATCATATATGTGAGCTACTATAATTACACTAAAACAAACAACAAAACAAAACACAGCTGCTTACTTTGCACCAGCTGATGAAAAGATGTCTGCCCAATAATTTGGATCATAAAATTCAGCTGTGAACATGGAAGCAAAATCAGCATAGGTGAAATCTGGTCTGTAGTTTGCCTGCATGAACTGGACGACGTCCAGTTGTGGCTGAGGTCCCTTCCAGAAATCCCAGAACCAAGCACCCTTGTAACTTGGCACTGAGAAGACGCCCCAGTGGAGAAAGATACCAAACTTTGCATCATCAAACCACTGAGGGATAGGCCTTGTGTCCAGGGATGCCCAGGTGGGGTCGTAGCGAACTTGCTGAGGCTTCTGTGGCCGCTCTATCTTAAATTGTTTAATATATTCATATCTACGCAGGTTAGCTGAGACAGTGGCTACAAGAAAAACTGCTGCAGCAAAAAAAGGAAATAACATCCTAAAAAGAAAAGAAATTATGTATTAAAAATTAAAATATACATACAGAATAAAGGAAACAAATAATCTACTGAACAAATGAATGAAAAAACAAACTTGAGTTTTCAAGGGTCACAAACTGAGCATGTGGACCATTCAGCCTTGCTGTCCAGTAGTAGTCAGGGCTTTTATCTTTAAAAAAAAAGGTACTGGTACTCACGATTAAGAATCTAAAAAGGTGCCGGTACTCACCACAAACAGTATAAAATAGGTGCTAGTACTCACTACAAAGTGCCTAATACAGTAGCACAGATAAAAAATTATGCAAGAAAATGCCGGTAATGGTACCGTTGCGTACCACCAGAAGAAAGTCCGGTAGTCAGGACTATTTTCTGTCAGTACGCAAATGTGTGCAGTACCAACACATATGTAAGACATTATGGTTTCAGCACTACTGTACTAGACACTTTGTGGTGAGTACCAGCAACTTTTTTTTCAGACACATTGTGGGACATTTTTCTGGGGGAGGGGAGGAGGGGAAAACCTGCTGGTAGCAGCAGTAATAGTAATAGTAGTAGCAGCAGCAGTAGTAATAGTAGTAGCAGCAGCAGTAGTAGTAATAGTAGTAGCAGCAGCAGTAGTAGTAATAGTAGTAGCAGCAGCAGTAGTAGTAATAGTAGTAGCAGCAGCAGTAGTAGTAATAGTAGTAGCAGCAGCAGTAGTAGTAATAGTAGTAGCAGCAGCAGTAGTAGTAATAGTAGTAGCAGCAGCAGCAGTAGTAATAGTAGTAGCAGCAGCAGTAGTAGTAATAGTAGTAGCAGCAGCAGTAGTAGTAAGAGAGGAAGAGGAATTCAAAATGGGTTTTGTTTAGTACCAAACTATCTACAAAATGTTTACTGGTAGCTTCACACATGATACAGTTTTCTTAACTCCTTGTGTCTTATCTGTTGTTACATTAGCCAGCTTCATCCTTATTGTTCTGCTTTTCTTTTTCACTTCCTCTATTACCATTTCCTGTGGTGAGGCCTAATTATTACTTTAACAACCTTAGATACTTTTTTCTTAATTGCAATGTGAGGGTTTGATTTGCAGAACTTTGTGAAAATAGTAAGAAACAGATATATCCATCTATTTGAAACCAACTGTTTACTACGGTGTGGATACTAAAGCCCATTAAAAATTATAACAGTGTTGATTTCATTGGTGTCCTAACTGGAATTGTGGTGCACAAACCTTGACTAAGTGTTTAATTCAGCGTTTAATCAGTCCATTTCTAAGACAGCTGCTTAATTGTTAGCACATTTAAGAATGTCCCATTGACTGCTTTTCATTTATCAGTGTTATCTGACATTACAATGCAACACTGCATTAAATGTTGAACAAGTTGCACATCCCTTACAGGACGTCTCAGAAACAACCCCAGCATCTGCTGGATGTTTTGGATTTACTAGGCAGTTTTATGTTCAGTAGTTTGCTATTAATTAATTGTTTAAAAAAAGTTAGTTGTGTATCCTTTACAGGATGTTGCAGAGCCGACCCCATATTTTGGCTGTTGTAGTTTTTCTAGGAAAATTTTACGTTCAGCAGTTTACCAAGCCTACTCACCGGTCAGCTCTTGGCACCACTGTCAAAACCAACATAAGAAGTTTTGCTGGCAAATCATCTGCAGCTGGGATCAAATAATGCACTCCGGCATTACGAAGCGTGCTTGCAACATCTAAGCCACAGTCTAATTAAGTGTACAAAAGTTAAATGACACAAAGGCCGGAACAGTTTAAGAACTGGGATTGTTCTCTGAACCTAGTGATCTGCATTGTTGTGTTCTTTTAAGCCACCATTTATCATATTATTTAACAGGAAACTTTGTAAGTTAAGTGTACATAATTTAAGTACACAAAGGCTGGGCCTGAAGCCTAGTGTCTAAACCTGAGGACCTGCACTGTTATGACAAGAAATATATTCACCCAAAGCCAGCTAGCCTGTGACATGAAGATCAAAAAGGGGGGAAGGACTGCACTGTTGGATCTTCACTTCTGCATTATCTAATATCAAAACACTGGATTAACTCTTTTAAAGGGGACACAAAGGCTGGGCCTGTTGAAAAACCTGGGTGTGGGAATTTTGCGATCTGTATTTTTGTTTGTTCACTTCACCCATCATTTATCAAGCGTATATTTAATATCACTACACAGCTAAAGGAGATCTGCATTGCTATGTATTACTCACATTGGAAATTATCAATATTATCTAACATTGCGGAGTCCGTGGCTTAGGCGTTGTGAGTCGGACTCGTAATTGTAACATACTGCGATTGAAACCTACTGCTGGTTGCGTGGATTTGTATCATGGTATAGGTCGTCACAGGTCGACTCAGCCTAAAATGGGTACCAGGATGGCTGTCCTGGGGAAGTAAGGACGGCCCGGCGTAATGCTGAACACATTACCCCGTCTAGTGTTGATGGTCTGTAAAAATATGGGAGCTCTTCCCATATACCCGATACGCATAAAGGGATCCTAACTTTTTACTTTATTATCTAACGTTACAACGCTGGATTATTATTTTATTATTATTATTAATTTATTAAGAGTACATCACAGTACTTGCCATTATCCCTTTACTTTTACAACTGAGTAGGACCTGTCAGTGACAGCACTGTCGAACTTAGTGATCTGCATTGTAATTGTTGTGTGTTTACTTCTGCCATTATTTATGATCGGTATTATCAATAATTCTCTAACATTGCAACACTGAATAAATTCAGAGCACATAAGGGACACGAAGGCTGTGCCTCCTGCATAACCCGGGTATCTTACCTGAAAATCTGTTCTGTCACTTCTGCTGTCGCGTTATTACATAGGGATTTTATCACATGACCGTGATCACGTGACATTTGTATAAGATACAGAAGGAATGGGGTTACAACAAATATTGCCTGTCCATGATCTGATGAGTCAAACACTCTTGTTTATTACATTTATATCACAGAATGAGTTGAACCAGATATGTGTGATTAGATTACAACTAGTAAGTTCTGAGTGGTTAGGAAAACAATTAAGATACCAGGAAGTAATGATAGTAGTTACTACTGTAGTATTAGTAGCAGCAGCAGCAGCAGTGCAGTAGCAGCAGCAGATCTCGCATAAATAATAATATTACCCTCTTTAACAATGGCAAACTACTGAATGTAAATTTATCTAGAAAAACCGCAACAGGCAAAAAAAAAATGCTAAGGTTGGTTCTGCAACGTCATGAAAAGGACACGCAACATTTTGTTTTTTAAATGACATGGGGGTGTGTGTGCGGGGGGGGGGGGGGGGGGGGGGGGGTGGTGCTTTTTGTTGGAATGAACCACATTCACTAAACTCTCTACTTTTTATTTTCATTGACCTATTTGCCCTATATAAGTTTATTCTTTTTTGACAGTAACTTAGTGCATCTATGCTCGAAATAATTACAGAGACTGCATTGACTTATTGTTTATTGAACTGTCGTGACAAAAAGAGGAGCCGATAATGCACAGTTGCACCCTTTTACATTTAAACACGCCCACAACCCCGTCACCTACTCCCGGTTAATGCTAGGTTCGTAATTTGATGGGGGAGGGGGTGGGGCGATAAGTTCGAATCATGGGCGCTGGAACCCGTGGGTTCAAGTACCTTGAACGCCCCCACCCCAACAAGCAACAACAAAAAACAAAAAAAATTGGTAGTGGAGGGATGTGAGTATTCAGCCCCCCCCCCCCCCCCCCCCCCCCCCCCCCCCCCCCCCCCCCCCCCCCCACTCCCAACACACCATCCCTCCTTCTGAATATTTTTAAGCTGACTCTTAACCAATTAAGAAAGAAATTCTCTTTTTGAAGTATTTGATTATATATTTTAAAATGTCTGTCACACAAACTTAACAACACATGATGAAGAAACCGAGATTGTCCAAAAACTTTGAATATCTAGCTCCATAACACACGTCATATGAGACTTTCATGATAGACCGAAAGTAGGATGGCCATAGTAATGCAAAGATTAAACAGCATTAAAAAGTCCATGGTTAAGCACCATCAAAGAAATCAAAGTCAAAATGTTGGGAGCATGCGTCTTACCTATAGCAACAACCAGATGTGAGTTGTGACCCATCTCACAGTAATTAGAGAAAAAGGGGGCTCTTTAGCTGAAATACTCAGAGGGGGCTGTGTGGTCTCGAGTGCTGGAGATCCAGGGTTCAGGCCCCGATGAAGGCTGGGAATTTTTCACGTGGATTTCTAGTAATTTTTCCTGGTCTCTGGGTAGTATGATCGGACGCCCGTGTGTATTATCGCGCACGTAATCAAATCCCTTGGCAACTGGAAATCGAAAACAGTAGCTAACGGCGCTTCCTGGGCGAAATTTTGAGTTGAAAATCTACCCAAAGTATTTGAGGATCATCACCGGTCCTACGGAGCTCGTGCACTGCGCTGGGATTTTTCGGACTCTGGCTTAAGTTAGAAGTATAACGGAGCGCTAATGGGTTTCCTCTTGTGCCATTATGTTGATCCGCTGTCTAAACCTAAACATGAAATACTCAGAACATCAGCGACTGTGAAGAAAGAGAGACCGACATCCTAAAGGATATGAACATCAAGGAAAACTGGCTAGTAAACAGGATCTTGTCTCAGAAACTGAAAAATTTTGACTGTATCCAGCGCCACGGAAATTTGGAAAGAATAGTGCCAGAAGGCATAGTACCAGGTGAGAGGAGCAGGGGCCGACCAGCACTAAGATCAGCACAGGGTATAAGTGACACCTTGGGCAGGAAAGTGCAAAAGGCAGAAAAGCTGGCGAGAGACCGAGTTTCTTTCAGACAGAAAGTGATGAGATAATCTACGTCGCACTTACCTAGGCTCTTACCCAATGCCTCTTCCAACCCTGTCGTTAAAAGACAGTACAGGACATGAAATCAATAAGAAGAAAAGTGATGAGAGTTAAGTTCTGCAAAGTACCTGCCACATGATGATGCTTTTATAGTACAGTCGGTATTCGTTCGCATT